TTTAGGCCCAGTCTCAGCATGCCGTGTGCATTTTCCTGTACCGCAAGCATGGTCATCCGATGAATGTCAAGAATTAGAAGACCTCACACGTCTTGTGTTCCCCTTGCCCATTTGATAGTATTAGATCAATAGTATCAGGAGGCGTACACCAATGCTGAGATTTCACCAATAACCGATAGAATGTCACTACTCACGAAGCCCAAAGTGCTAAGCATGGTTTTGGAGTGGATCTTAAGACTCATTTCTGCTACCTTCTAAACCGCCTAGTGTAACGCTCTGCTGTTCTACAAAAAGCTCACAAGCAATGCAATTTCGTGAGAATGGCCAACGTCCGTATGACATTGGTTATAACTTAAAGCCAGCGCGTTCTAAAGAATCCAGTCTTTATCGAACTACCAGTATTGATGAAAATGCCCAACCACAAGCGATGAGGGAGTTAAGCTCGGCTTATCTGTACATATCAATTGGCTATTCCAACCACAAACTGCGCATGAAGTATGAGCTCAAGTCCACGAGCCATAGAAAGTCGTATGTTTTTCCAATTGAGTTGTAGTTGCACTTCCTGGGGCTGAGAGTGAGAATACTAAAAATTACAGGGGCAATATTCACATACCTGTCACAATTACAGAAGAGTTAGGACATTAAACGGATATCTGCAGCACTTAAATCTTACGACCTAGGGAGGGTCGCATGACTATATCAACTTGAGAGACAAGCTTGAACGTTGATCTTATCGTGTGTCTCCAAGTTCAAAGGAGTGTACAGGACAGGGACAACAAAATCAATTTTCATACCAGCAGCAAATGGGTTTATCAGTAACCGACTGAGACCTGTCAGAAATCATGGTTTAGTAAATTTGTTCCGCGTTAGACTGGTTTCCCTGAATGTAATGCACATTGCCTGAAAGGCAGTTTGATATTGAAGCTATCTGCAATTATTTTACTAAAGTGGCTAGTTCCTTTCCTTTTTTGCTTGCCATCACTGAAGCACTCATAGCAGATTTAAAATAACTTCAGTGTCCACTTTAATAGTACTGACTCTCAAAAACGTTTTATTCCTTCATACCTTTCTTAGTGATTGAACTACCGACCGCGGACAATACTTCCCTCATACCTGATCCATGGGTGAAACAAATTCAAAGGTTGCTTTCGAACTGTGCGTATCCACCGAGGACTACCAGGGGAACAACCTCGGCCCCACTGTGAACATGGTTATGTTTGACACGAACAATGTTCAGTCACCGACGATAGCGCTAGCTAATCTCTTCCAAAACGAGGCGGATTTCAGACAGGCAAAATTTACTATCGATCTACAACCATGGAGCAGGCCCAAGGTGCTTTAGATGTGAACTATTTTAAACAGTTTGAATGCTTTCATATATTCAAAAGACCCTTTGTCATATGTGTTCGTTAAATCTTCGTAGGCCTCATACTCTCATATGCTTATTGGGTCAAATAAAACGAGCTATTATAGGCTCGTACCTTCTTTCTAGAGGCGCATATTGGTCAGTTTTTTTTAACGAAAAGGCCAAAAGGTCTGTTTCACGGACAGGCTTGACATAGGGCTTGTTCCACATGAACCTTTATCCAGACTGTATCTCCAGAAAGACAAAGCACATTTCCAGGCATAACCGAAAAGCAGAACGAAAGTAGTGCTACCCTCGCACATATAGCTGATTGCGGCCATCACGAAGCTTTCTGAGGGATGTACAATATTCTACCAAACTATGAAAACTGTTAGAAATGCATCTACTGGCAACAACGGAGGCAGCGGCAATCGGGTTGGGCAAGTGGGTCTTGTGCGCACAGTAACCCTTAATTGCAGGGCTCATAGTTGCTATGACCGAAATCCAATTAGCTTTCTAATCAGACCATCTCCAACCGCACTATAAATACCTATAGATGACGGTTGATACTGCTTGTTTCTAATGATCTCTCCCTACTCCCCGTCCTTCACCTGTGTGAAACGAACATAATTTAATTTCTCTACATGCCCACATGTTCCCCTTGGGTATCCTAGTAATTAGTTAATGTGCAAGTCATGTGATAATGTCAAGAGCAGATTTATGCTCGCCAAATCGTCCTCTGAATATTTTAATGGGAACTTTTGGAGCTTTCTTTTGTGTTAAAGAAGGGGTGTTTACCGTCGATAGCACCTCGCCAAACATCTATATTACCACTTCTTCACTCTGCCTCATTTTTTTCCCTCCAGATATTTGGGAGGCTACACCACATAGAATTTTGGCGGTCAGACGGGGGCCCCTTCGCCTCGCCCTGGTTCCTCGACCGCGTTGTCATTCGTGATCGTAGGCATGGCCTCACAGGCGAGTGGGACTACTTCTTCTTTCCCGTGCATGATTGGATCTTGCCGGATGCGCAGTACGTTGTACACAACTGCGAAACCTTTCTTCCTCAAGACGAACCCTTCCCAGAGCTCCGCGACGCTCAACTTGCCCGGCGACAGCAACTTTTAACTTTCACGCAGCGAGCAAAGGGTCTTCCTGTGGAGGTTTGTTAAACCATTTTGTTTTCGTTTGCTAGTTGCGTATAAAAACCTCTTCATTCCCACCATCTAC